GGCCTCATTGAGATTTTAGACATAGGGCCTCCATTCCCTAGTCGCCTTTTGCCAACATTAGGGCTCCAATCCCTGAGTTGTGCCTTTTAAGACATAGGGCACTCCAATCCCTGAGTTGAGCCTTTTAGAGATAGGGCCTCCATTCCCTAGTCGCCTTGTGCCAACATTAGCACTGCAATCCCTGAGTTAAGCCTTTTAGACATAAGGCCTCCATTCCCTAGTGGCCTTTCGCCAACATTAGGGCTCCAATCCCTGAGTTGTGCCTTTTTAGACATAGGGCCTACATTCCCTAGTCGCCTTTTGCCAACATTAGGGCTCCAATCCCTGAGTTGAGCCTTTTTAGACATAGGGCCTCCATTCCCTAGTCGCCTTTTGCCAACATTAGGGCTCTAATCCCTGAGTTGAGCTTTTTAGACATAGGGCCTCCATTCCCTAGTCGCCTTTTGCCAATATTAGGGCTCCAATCCCTGAGTTGAGCCTTTTTAGACATAGGGCCTCCATTCCCTAGTCGCCTTTTTACCAACATTAGGGCTCCAATCCCTGAGTTGAGCCTTTTAGACATAGGGCCTCCATTCCCTAGTCGCCTTTAGCCAACATTAGGGCTCCAATCCCTGAGTTGTGCCATTTTAGATATAGGGCCTCCATTCCCTAATCGCCTTTTGCCAACAGTAGGGCTCCAATTCCTTAGTTATGCTTTTTAGACATAGGGCCTCCATTCCCTAGTCGCCTTTTGCCAACATTAGGGCTCCAATCCCTGAGTTGTGCCTTTTTAGACATAGGGCCTCCATTCCCTAGTCGCCTTTTGCTAACATTAGGGCTCCAATCCCTGAGTTGTGCCTTTTTAGACATAGGGCCTCCATTCCCTAGTCGCCTTTTGCCAACATTAGGGCTCCAATCCCTGAGTTGTGCCTTTTTAGACATAGGGCCTCCATTCCCTAGAAGCCTTTTGCCAACATTAGGGCTCCAATCCCTGAGTTGTGCCTTTTTAGACATAGGGCCTCCATTCCCTAGTCGCCTTTTGCCAACATTAGGGCTCCAATCCCTGAGTTAAGCCTTTTAGACATAAGGCCTCCATTCCCTAGTCGCCTTTTGCCAATATTAGGGCTCCAATCCCTGAGTTGAGCCTTTTTAAACATAGAGCCTCCATTCCCTAGTCGCCTTTTTACCAACATTAGGGCTCCAATCCCTAGTTGTGCCTTTTTAGACATAGGGCCTCCATTCCCTAGTCGCCTTTTGCCAACATTAGAGCTCCAATCCCTGAGTTGAGCCTTTTAGACATAGGGCCTCCATTCCCTAGTCGCCTTTGGCCGACATTAGGGCTCCAATCCCTAAGTTGAGCCTTTTTAGACATAGGGCCTCCATTCCCTAGTCGCCTTTTGCCAACATTAGGGCTCCAATCCCTGAGTTGTGCCTTTTTAGACATAGGGCCTCCATTCCCTAGTCGCCTTTTGCCAACATTAGGGCTCCAATCCCTGAGTTGTGCCTTTTTAGACATAGGGCCTCCATTCCCTAGTCGCCTTTTGCCAACATTAGGGCTCCAATCCCTGAGTTGTGCCTTTTTAGACATAGGGCCTCCATTCCCTAGTCTCCTTTTGCCAACATTAGGGCTCCAATCCCTGAGTTGTGCCTTTTTAGACATAGGGCCTCTGTTCCCTAGTCGCCTTTTGCCAACATTAGGGCTCCAATCCCTGAGTTGTGCCTTTTTAGACATAGGGCCTCTGTTCCCTAGTCGCCTTTTTCCATCATTAGGGCTCCAATCCCTGAGTTGTGCCTTTTTAGACATAGGGCCTCCATTCCCTAGTCGCCTTTTGCCAACATTAGGGCTCCAATCCCTGAGTTGTGCCTTTTAGACATAGGGCCTCCATTCCCTAGTCGCCTTTTTCCAACATTAGGGCTCCAATCCCTGAGTTGTGCCTTTTTATACATAGGGACTCCATTCCCTAGTCGCGTTTTGCCAACATTAGGGCTCCAATCCCTGAGTTGAGCCTTTTTAGACATAGGGCCTCCATTCCCTAGTCGCCTTTTTGCCAACATTAGGGCTCCAATCCCTGAGTTGAGCTTTTTTTTTAGACATAGGGCCTCCATTCCCTAGTCGCCTGTTGCCAACATTAGGGCTTCAATCCCTGAGTTGTGCCTTTTTAGACATAGGGACTCCATTCCCTAGTCGCCTTTTCGCCAACATTAGGGCTCCAATCCCTGAGTTGACATTTTTAGATAAAGGGCTCCATCCCCTGATCTTTTTCCTTCTAGATAGATGCAATTCTTATTTTATTTGCTTTCAAACAAAAAATTAGATTTTGTTGCAAATAACTCACGAAATTTTCCTAGTGAAAACTGGGGCAAAAAATTTCGTTCGTTTGTTTGTTTTGGTGTCTGAACAGGTTTTACCTCAAGGCACAGGATTCAAGATGACCGAAAGAATGAGTCACAATCCAGAATAAAAGAAAAGAAGAAAAAAACAAAAAAGAAGTGAACTTAAAAGTGTTCGAAATGGAGAAGGACGCGGACTGCTCAAAATTTGATCGAAGTCATAAGCTTCGCATGTCCCGCTTTGATCCAATGCTGAAGAAAGAACCAGCACCTACAGCTTGCGAGCATCAAGATTCAGATCGGGGTCCACAGCAGAATCAGCTAAGACTCAAGATCAAGCTTCAAGATATTTGTAGATAGGAATCTTGTAACTCGTAGTTGATAGGCATAGCTAGCTTAGCTTTGATTTTCATTTTGGTGTAATAAGGAGGTCAGCAAGCAGTAGCAACAACATCAGCAGTGAAATCACAGCTCCCGGTAGTCCCAGCTACCAAAACTTCCTGAACTACACTGACCTGATTCCTTTATAGCCAAGGATATGTAGGCAACCTCTGAAGCAAGGTTCGGTCAGATATTTTTCAAAAAATACTTCTCATGGAGTGCCAAGCGGGCAAAAATCCCTCATAATTGCTCATTTATCTTTGCCCGAAAACCCTTCTTGTCTCCGAGCAAAGAGGGGCAGCTGTGAGCACGTGATTTTTGCCTCGCATGATTTACTCCTACACAATTTTCATGTTTATTTGCATTTCTGTGTGCATTTTTAATTTATATAATTCACAAAAATACAAAAATACGTTGCATGCACATTTAGGATTTAATTTTACATATTTTAGATTAATTAGTAATTAGGGTTTTACAAAAATCACAAAAATTGATTTATTTTTCTAGCTTTGAATTTTGTTAGTTTTCCTTTAATTTGTTTTAATTAAGTGTGTTAACCATCATTTAGGTTTAATTAGTTTAATTAGGTCCTAGGGTTTAATTCAGATTTTTATTTTTAATTTTTGAAAAAGGAAAAGAAAAGAAAAAGATTAAAAAAAAAGGGAAGGAAATAAAAGACGAGAAAAACAAAGAGAGATCAGCACTTGGGCCAACCCCCCTTAATCCAATTCGAGCCCAAAGCAAGCTCAGCTTAATTTCCATTTAAACCCGTCCAAATGAGAAAAATCATCACCTGACCCAGCCCAACCACCCGTCCAAGCCCAAATCACATAACCCGGTCCAGGCTTCCCCCCTTGACCCCAAAAACGACCCCGTTTAGTTGATTTCAGATCCCATCCGTCGAGGTTTCTTGATCGAACAGCTGGGAAGCTAGGGTGTTTAAGTATAAAATTGTCCAAACGTTACCCTCCCCCCCCCCCTTCACTCATCGTCTCCCTCCTCTATTCAAACCCTAGAGACCACCGTCCCCACCATCTGCCGCCACCGGAAATCGGCCACGGCGGCGGCGAGACTCCAATGACCCCCAAAAATTCACCAGAGCTCCCTCTCCCTTTCCTCATGCCCATGACACCATCAGTTCCCCTAAAATCCCACTGGAAATCCCCAAATATCCCAAACACTAGCCGCCGCCTTTGAACCCTCCGCCGTGGCCGGTGGCGCCACCACCCAAACACCACAAAATTAACACCAAACCATCTCCACAACCACCTCTTCCCTAATCTATAGCCAATAACCCTCGAATCACCTTCAAGATCTTCGAATTTCAAATCACAGTTGAGTCCTAATTTCAAAAATTTCAGGCTCCAGTTTTGTTAAAGATTTAGGTATATTGTGACGTTATTCGTGTGTTCTTTTCAAGAAAACACGATTAATATCATAGTCCACCAAAAATCCGAAGAAATTGAAGATTCAGGTCTTTGTCTCCAGATGTTAGAAGCCCTGTAGGTATTTTTCTTTTATTTTTTCCTTTGATTTAGTTTATTTTCTGTCTTTTCTTTTGTTTTGCTTTTCCAGTATTAATTATTCCTTCCTCTGTCTTTGAAATTTTTATTTTTCTAAATTGCGTAGTGTTAATTGCATACATGTTAGTTTTTTTTAAATAGTTTTCTTTTAAGTAATTAAGAATACTGTTAATAATTTGTTTCTAATTTTATTAAGTACATCAATTTGGAATTAGTAGGGTTGTTGCCCTAATGGCTTCTGTTTTGTTAAATTCATCTTGCAATTCAGAATTTGGAGTTCATTTGATTGTTTTGGGCTCGAAGGGTATACCCTTAAGCCCAATTTTGGGCTAGTTGCTTAGAGGATTCAACCCCAGGGTTAATTTGACCCATAGCCCATTTAAGTTAGGTAATTTTCAGGGTAATTAGGGGTAGTATAGCCAATGTAGATAGGGGAATCTTTAGTGTAACTAACTAGGAAGCTTCTAGTAGGGGCTTTTAGCCAATTTCAGACTTTTGGATAGTTAACGTGGAAAACAAGTCAATAACTAGAGGACCTCTAAGCTAAAAGCAGAAATTAAAAAAAGGACCTAAGGGGTAAAAAAATAAATTTGCAGGGCTGCCCTAATTGCTTGCCTATAAAGGCATGCCATTCTTGCCTTGCAAGAGGGGGGAAGAGCTCAAAATACATAGACCCAATATAGAACCTAGAGATCCAAAAAGCTAAAAATACAGAGAATTCGAGAGCTAAAAGAGCTAAAGAAGCTGAAAATACAGAGAATTCAAGAGCTAAAAATCCTGCAAAGTTGAGTGACCTAAGAGCTAAAAATCCAACAAAAAAATGAAAGAAAAGCTACTGTTCCATTAGGTTTTCACTGATTTCCTCCTTTTCCAACTTCTGAAAATTGCTTAACTTCATCCGAGTGGAAATGACTTAGATCTACTCATCAAGAGGTTTAGTTTAAAGTTGGCTGGTCTGTTTGGTTGTTCATCATATTAAAACTTGGATCATTCCTGGGTTGGAGTTGTTTTGGCTAGCTGACTACTGCTGATTCCTGCTTACTGTCTCACTCCCGCTTATTTTCTTTGTCCAATTTACAGGTATTCCTTGATTCTCTAGGAGATGATATGCAAACATACAAGCTGTAATTGCCTGAAGTTTTTCATGAAAGAATGACTGTTTTCCCTTTAATCTTGAATGTCAATTGACTGCTTAAAATTCCTGAAGTCAGTAGTTTAGTGTAATGGTGTTTAGCCTAGCCTGTTCATCCTAGTGTAGTAGTAGTATTTTGGGATTCATGCTGCTTTTTCATTTTGTTGGAAACTTGTGGATTGTTAGTTTGTTGAACATTCGAGAAATTGTGTATATGGACTGTTGAACTCATTTATATCCTATTTGGTAGTGTTAGCTCTAGTATAGGTTAATTTTAGCAATCCATGTTAAGTGTTTTCAAGGTTTGCTACCATGTTTTGAATGTTAGTTTAAATTTAGAATCTGGAATATTGTGTTAGTTTAAGTTGATTAGGATCTCTGAAATTCTGAGAGCATGCTAAGCCTGTTAAGCTAGTCATATTCATTTTCAATTTAATTGAATGTGCTGTTGAACTTTTGGGTCAAGGGTAAAGGGTCGTTTGTTTTGGTGAGGGCTCGATATTGAGCCCGGAATTTGCAACCTTATTCCTTACGAGGTTGGGCTCATTTGAGTCTTGGACCTTGAATTGGTTTAGCAGGAGTAGATGGCCAGTTACACTGGTTTGGGCCTGCTGTTTGAGCCCAATGGCTTATTTATTTAATTTCTGAGTTCATTTAATCAAATTTGACTGGAGTTTCAGTTAATTTATGTCAAAGGATTTAAATCATAACTCAAATCTCTTAATTAGACCTCATGTTTATGTGATTAATGTCAATTATGCCTATATTATGTGTCTTGGGTATGGGCCAGTCGGATCACAAGAAACAGGCCTAACGAGGGCCCAGTTCTAATCATTACCCTTTTGTGAATATACCATTGGGCCTGGCTTCATTTGAAGCCCAATTTTTTCATACATTAATTCTGCAGCCATGTTCGATCGCATCTGTTTTTGAGCCCAACGTGGAAGGGTGCTGAATCACTCTTTGAAATAATTGTCAAATGCACAGGCTGCCAGGCCCAACGCTAGGCCACTTTAATTCCACACCATCAGTTTTTTTTTCCTTCTAAACCTTTTGAGTTAAGCCCAAAGCTTTAAAAGTCCTGGACTAATGTTTCTTTTTTGTTTAATGGTTTAAAGATTAAATATGAGTATTGGGCTTTCCAAGCTAAGCAGCAGACTCGAATTTAGGACCTTTTCAATAATTGAAGTAGTCCTTGTTCGAGTCTGGGCTTGATCTTGGAGGCCCAAACCTACCATTTGTTTTAAAATATGTTTCTTTCTTATTGGGGGCTTATTTGTCTTGGGCCTAGCTTCCCCTTTGATTAAAATAATTGAGTCTTTCCTATGTAGGCCTTGTACTTAATTAATTAGAACTTTAGTTATAGCTAGTATTAACTATTCAAGTCCCCTAATTAGGATAAGAGTTGAGCCATAATAGACAATGATAGCTCATTTTAGGACATCCTTTAAAAAGAAATGAAATCGAGGTGCGCCGCACCAAATAAAATCACAAATGCGTGGCCCTCTTTAATTATTTTCTTTAAAATACTTAGACATTGATGCGTGCCATTTAGCGAATTTTCATGGCCCTCACAAAGTTAACAACGCGTTAGTTGCTTTAGGCGCGTTATTTAATAATTTTACCTTCTTAAACTCGGGTGTGTATTTCATGTGACCCAAATCCAAATCCTAAAACGTTGAATAAAATATGTTTTAGATTGCGGGTGCATTTCATGTGATGCGATCCAAGGACACGTTTCAAACAACGTTCAATTTTCCTTAAAATTAATTAAAAGCGGTAAATATTTTAAAATTGCACCATAGGTTAAAACATGTATTAAAATCAGATAATAGGCCAATTATGATAGTTTAAGCGACCGTGCTAGAACTACGGAATCCGGGGGTGCCTAACACCTTCCCCCGGGTTAACAGAATTCCTTAGTCAGAATTTGTGGTTCGCAGACTTCAAAAGGAAAGTCGAAATCTTCCTTGATTTGGGATTTAAAACAAACCGGTGACTTGGGACACCAGAAACAAACCTATCCCAAGTGGCGACTCTGAATTGAATAAATAATCCCATTTCGAATAATGTCACTTAAATTGAAAAAACTCCC